TTTAGTTACTGTAATATTATTATTCAAATAGAGAATAACTTCAACAGAACCAGAAAGAAAAAATTAAGATAACAAATTTTGCAGTTGTCCAAAACAAAGTGACAGATAAAACACAGAGGAATTCAGAGCAAGGATCAGAGAAGATTCTTTTGATCTCAGTATGTCTCATGTACAAAACTGCAGTGTCAGTCACCTGGAATTGTTTTCCAGTGTCTCCAGGACAAGCGTGAAGAAAGATCTGTCATCATGTCTTAAAACTACTTTTAAAAAAATTTAGATACAGCTTTCATATTTCTGTACTGATAGTTTAATATATTTCTTGGGAAGAGCTTTTTGTCCAGTTTTATGAAGAGAGAGGAATTATTTAGTCAGAAAGATTAGTTTCTGTCTTTTAATCTTAGAACTGGAAAATTCTTTGTTTTTCTTAGAATTCACATACATCTGAAATCATTATTGCAACTAATTTTAAAACTTGCAATAATTTTTCCACAAGAATTTCAGCCTTTGATGTAATTAGCCCTAAGGTTTCTGGAGCTGCATAATTAAATTACTGCAATGTTTCCTTCATTGACTCCTTAACAGTCAGATTTAAGTAGTAACATTATTTATTGCTTCAGTTAGTTGACCACTGTAAGCAAAAGAGCAATATAATAAAATCTCTGTTTAAGAGAGTAAGCTGATTTGAAGCACAGTATTGATTGGGATGTGGTCGTCATCAACCATAAGCTGTTTGGAGGGGAAGAAAAAAAATTACTGCCTTCCTTATTGAGTCCTACTTCTAACTTTCCAAAGATGACATGTATCTATATAAATACTGGAAGCTATGTTAAAGGTGCCTAAATTGAAAATTGTAAGAAATGGATATTTACTGTCGTTTCAATAAACCTAAATTGGAGAATGTTTAAATACGGAAATCATTGCACAAAGCTGTTGGTTCATTGTGGATCATCACAATACACATTTGGTATGTGTAGGTATGTCTACTTTACCTTACTTGGGTCTTTTATTTGTCAATATTGCAAAAACATTGTAGCATTCTAGTATTATATACCCCCCAACTTTTGATGACACTAATTTTCCTGTGGTGAAGCAATCATGTTTAATTAAATTATATTGACAAGATCAGTGGAAATTATTTGGTAAGCATGTTTTTAATCTAGGATTTAGAGAAAAAAATAAGCACCACAAAGATAACTATTAAGATTTTAGATTAAGATTCATGGGGAATTATATAAAGGACAATAACATCCTTGTATTTAGTTTTCTGTGTAGAAGTTAATTCAAACATAAGCAAAGGATAATAAGCACTGAAGAGACCATTCATTTTAGCAGTGTTTTGAGCAAAGCAGACAGTATCCAGAAGGAGTTCAAAGAGCTTTTTGTAGGTTGAAATGAAAGCTTAATTTAAAAAATAAAAAACCCCAGTAATCCTGTTTTTACTTATTTATCTAGCACAGCTGTAGTTAAAAGGAGTTTCTGTAAAATGTTTATTAACTCCAAAACTTTTTTTATTCCCAGCTATTTTTGAGTTGCTTTTTTGTTTCTGTTCTTGGAATGTGATGGTCATGTATGGGATACAAGATGTTCAGGGACCTTTAGGATGTAGGGAGCTTTTGCATAATGCTTATTGTAGCCAACATTCTGTTTCTTTACTTTGCATAGAATTTGAGTGGCTATAAAGATCTTCGTATCTATTATTGATAATATTTTTAGCTTAAATTTTGCCTTTATAATTGTTTTTTTAAGGTATTTCCAATATAGAAAGTCCTTTGAATTCAAAGTCCAAAATAATCTATTTCTTAGTTGAAGTGAAGATCATTTTACTTCCAGGAAGAGCTAAACATACTTTTTGAGATTTGCTGGATTAAAATCTCTTTGAATGCTGCTTGGACTTATTGTCAGTCATACTAATTCCTATTAATCCTAAACTATGTGATCCCAGCCAAATCACCTACGCTTTTGACATGTTGCTAGCAAAAGGTCCTCACTCCTCACTCCCAGACTTACAAGAGTAGCCTTTGTCCCTATTAGTCTTGAGCTGAATTCTGATCTTCAACTTAAAGAAGCCTCATATTCCCAGGGCCTGGTCCTCAGGGAGGCTTCAATCATCCTGGTACCTGATGAAAGGACAATAGAGAAGAGTTCAAGCAATCTAAGAGGTTTCTCAGGTGCATTAATGATAACTTCCTAGCATAGTTGATGGAGGAGCCAACAAGGAAAGGTGGTTTGCTGGATGTGATGCTTATGAAGAATAAAGAACTGGTCAGGGACATGAAAGTTAAAGAAAGCGTTACCTACAGTGACCATGAGATGATGGAGTTGAAGATCCTAATGGAAGGGAGCAAGGAAAAAAGCAGGACTGCAGCCCTACATTTCAGGAGAGCAGACTTCATCCTCTTCAGAGCTCTGCTTGGAAGAATGCGATGAGCCTTGGGGAGGAGTGGTCCCAGAGAGCTGGCTTATACTCAGTGATCACTTCCTTCCCAACAAGTAGGAAATCAAGGAAAGATGACAGGCATGGATGAACAAGGAGGTCCTAAATGAACTCAGACATAAAAAGGAAATGTAAAAGAATACAAAAGGTGGAAGCAGGGGTAGGTGACCCAGGAGGAGTTTAAAGCTCCTGTCCACTCTTGCAGAGATGGAGTTAGGAAAGCAAAATCCGTTCTGGAGTTGAATCTGGAGAGGGATGTGAAGGACAACAACAAAGGATTCTACAAGTACATAAACAGCAAAAGCAAGACTAGGGAAAATATGGGCCTGCTACTTAATGGGGCAGGGGAGCTGGTGACAAATGACATGGAAAAGGCAAAGATGCTTAATGTTGCCTTTAGCAGTAAAAGTGACTTTGAGTAATCCCAGGCCTCTGAAAGTAGATAGAAAGTCTGGTGCAAGGAGGACTTAAGTTTGGTGAAGAAGAACCAGGCTAGGGAGCAGTTAAACTAAATGGACATAAATAAATTCATAGGGTTTGGTGTGTTGCACCCAGGAGTGCTGATAGGGCTGGCTGATGCCATTGTGAGATGACTTCATGATCTTTAAATGACCGTGGTGATTAGAAGAGGTTGGGAAAACAAATACCATTCCCATCTTCAGGAAGGGCAAGAATAAAGTTCTGAGAAACTACAGGCTATTTGGCCTCAGCCCAATTCTTCAGGGGATGATGGAGGAAATTCTCCTGGAAAGGATGTCCAAAGTCATGAAGGACAAGAAGGTGGTCATGAGTAGTCAGCATGGATTTACAAAGGGGAACTCATGACTGACCAACCTGGCAGCCTTCTGCAATGAGGTGACTAGCTTGGTGGACAAGTGGAAAGCAGTGGATGTTGTTTACCTCAACTTTACTAAAGCCTTTGACACCTGTCTCCCATAACATCTTAGACAAGCTGATGAAGTATGGGTTAGATAAGTAAACAGTGAGGTGGATTGCAAATTAGCTGAATGGCCAGGCCCAGAGGGCTGGGATCAGTGTCACAAAGTCCAGCTGGAAGTAAGTTACTAAAGGTGTACGCAGTGGTGAATACTGGGACCAATATTATTTAATGTCTTCATTAATCACCTGGATAATGGGACAGAGTGCACCTGCAGGAAGTTTGCAGATGGTGCAAACCTGGGAGGAATGGCTGGTACACCAGATGGTTGGGCCACCAGTCAGAGGGACCTCAACAGGCTGGAGAATTCTCATGAAGTTCAACAAGGGGAAAGGCAGAGTCCTGCATCTGAGAAGGAATAACCCCATGCACTAACCCACACTGGGAACTGACTGGTTGTAAAGCAGCTTGGCAGAGAAGCACCTTGGGGTCCTGGTGGACAAGAAGCTGAACATGAGACAGCAATGCACCCTTGTGGCAAAAAAGGCCAACAGCATCCTGGGCTGCATTAAGAACAGTTGCCAGCAGGTCAAGTGAGGTGATCCTTCCTCTCGGCACTGCTGAGGCTGCATCTGGAGTAGTGCCCAGTTCCCTACTACAAGAGAGACATGAGCATACTGGCACGAGTTCAGTGTAGGCTCACAGAGATGATTAAGGGACTGGAGCATCTCTCAATCTGAGGAGAAACAGAGAGCTGGGACTGTTCAGCCTAGAGAAGAGAAGGCCCAGGAATGTATGAATAAAGGATGGGAGGAAGTGATGATGAGGGAGCAGTGCTCTTCTCAGCTGTGCCCACTGGCAGGAAAAAAGACAATGGCACAAATTAAAACATGTGAAATTCCAGCTGAACACAAGGAAATTTTTTACTATGAGGATGGTCAAACATTGGAACAGGTTGCTCAGAGAGGTTTTGGAGTCTCCATTTGTGAAGATACTCTAAAGCCCAACTGGACATGGCCCCAGGCAATGTGTGTACTAGGTGACCCTGCTTGAGCAGTGGTGGTGGACTAGGAAAGCTCAGTAGGTCCCTTCCAACCTAAATGATTGTCATTTTCCAAGTCTTAAGTCCAGGCTATAGCATTCTATGTAATGACTGTGCTTATAAAATAGCTTTGGCCAAGCTTAGCTCTTGTGATTTTTACGTTTTTATTATTGTATATTTTTCTTTTAGAACTGCAGGTACTGATGTAGATTTTGTTACAGAATATATCCTTGTAACACCTTGTAACGCAGTAATAAACATTTTAGGATGCATGCTTTTTTAATTGTTTAAAAAGCTGTCAGTGTGCGTATCTGTCTTACCTAAGAGGTCTTCAGAAGATGAAGCCATAACTTCTTCAGATATCTCTGAATGCTGCTGTTTCAGCCTATCTCTTCTATGCAATACTTGCACAGCAGAAGTGACCACAGACCCAGGAGCTGCTCTGACGGTGTCCACAAGCCCAGGAAGCCTTGCTAGGCAGCTGCTGCAGAGCACAGACAGAACGGTTGCACAAGAGAGGGAAATTAATGCTTGTTTGATTTATTTTTGTATATTAATGTTATGCTAGTTTACTTTTATACTTCAATTTCTTTAATGACCATATGTTAAATATAGTACTATCATTTGTATTTATTTTTAATTTACAGGATGGAGGTCTGCTTCTAAATAATCCGTCTGCACTGGCAGTCCACGAGTGCAAGTGTCTTTGGCCAGATGTCCCATTGCAGTGTCTGATCTCACTGGGCACAGGCCGATACGAAAGCGAGGGAAAGACAAACGTCACATACACCAGTCTGAAAGCCAAACTCACAAATGTTATCAGCAGTGCAACTGATACAGAAGGTTGGTGTCTTAAGATACATTTGTACTGTGACTGTTTTCATTTTTTTGTTTCTTAGAATTATAGTTCCAATTTAGAGAGCAATCTGCAACTTTCTGTCTTTCCCCTTCTCTGCCCACCCCATTGAAACTACTTGAAGCACGTTTCTCCATAACTCATTCTGTATAGTTGGTGTTTTAGTATGTGTATTACAGGTTTTCTGGAGTCGATAATATGAATGCATTGCGTAGCCTTATATCTGTGAATCTTCATCTTCAGTATGTTGTTGCAAAGCTCTTTTAGTTTATGAGGTCTCAACTGTTAATATAAGGTTGATGACATAGGTATACTAGAGATAAAAAGACACCTTAAGATCAGAATGATAGTGATAATCCAACAGGTTTTATGGAAAGTGATGTGGTTTTACTTGTGCTTCAGAATAAAGCACAGGAATTGATTTCAATAGAAAAATCGTATTTTCTTATAGAACATTAATTGGTTTTCAACAGCTTTAGAAAAAGTATTTTAGTTCACATCTTTTCTATATGTTTTTAGCATGTGCTTTCCTAAGGACTAGACTGTATCTGCCAGTGACCATGACTACCATTGCTGTCAGGAGAAGCCAGGCCTGTGTTTTCCAAACTAAACTCCTTTCCTAGGATGGCAGTACACTGGAACTCTATCACTAGCAGTTTACATCTGTTTTGTTTTTATAAGCTGAGGAAATATTGTTGTGCAGATGCTTTTTGTTTTTCCTCTTACAAAGGGAACTGATACTGTAAAAAGCTATGGATCAAGAAATATTTTTACAGTCTAGATCTCTTGCTGCATGATCTCTGTCAACTAGTCATTAGTAACAAAAAGCTAGATTTTGGACTGCATTTGCTTTTTGCCCAGTCATGGGAAGGTAATGGGAGTTGTGGGAAGGAGAGATGTGCTGTCCACTTTCTATCAAGGGAAGAAATTGTTCATTGCAGCAGAAAAATGGGGAAAAAATATGACTGGGGGAAAGGAGGAAAGGAAAGTTTATTGTGGAGACCAAAGGAGAAGAAATGGACAGAGGGGAGAGTAGATTTGAGCAAATGGGAAGTTATATTATGGAGGAAAAAGACGACAGGATTAAATAGGGCAAGAAAGACTGGATGTGGTGAGACAAGGACAGAGACACAGCTGAGTAATTTGCAGAAGGGACCAAGCAGAGAAGACTACAGGTTAACAAGAATCTTCTGCTGTACTCTCACCCTTGATGGTTGTTTCACTTTAAAATTTTTATATAATAGTAAAAGAATGGGGAAGCATGGTAAGAATGCGAAGATTATGGAAATAAGAGAATGAAAGATGAAAGTAGTAGTGGAAATGGAATTTTAAGGGAACCAATAAATAGAAAAGACATCTAAAAGGAGACCGAAAACAGAGGAAAAAAAGGAAGATATGAACTTAAAAATGCATTACATAGCCAGTTTATTATTGTATTAGTTAACTGAACTGTTATAATTTAACAGGAACATTTTAAATTAAATGAAGTTTAAAGTCAAGCCCAAAATTGGTAGTAATATATATAAAAAATAATTGGAAAGAAGGCTTTAAAACTACATGTTTTTAATGTCTTTGACACTAGAGAAGAATATGTAGCTATTGGTTTCACAATGCCTACTTCCATTAGTACTGAATGTAACAAATAATGGGTGTCCTAACACAAGTTACATTCCCGCTCTTCAGAATGCACTCTCATTTACATAGGAATAGCATGTACATCTAATTAAAAATCTGGTTAGCTGCAAAGCTTTCTTAATTGTCGTATCAGTGAAGCTGTCTTAGAATAAAAGATGCTAAGATAAACCAAGCTACAGGGTCATTAGCAAACCTTCTAATGAGAAAGGGTTTTTGATCAGGCAGTGGTGGAAAAACATTTACTCAGCAAAGCAGCCCATATTTACACTTGCTGTGTCACTCCAGAGCACTTGTTGTTTAAAGACCGCAGGACCATTTGTATGTCTGTTGTAAATGTAACTGCTTACTTTATTTTCTGTACAGAAGTTCACACCATGCTGGATGCACTGTTACCTCCAGATACTTACTTCAGATTTAACCCTCTTATGAATGAAGACATACCTCTGGATGAAAGTCGTAAAGAGAAACTCAATCAGCTGCAGACAGATGGAATTCGTTATTTAGAACGAAACGAAGAAAAGCTCAGAAAAGCTGCAAAAATATTAACACAGGAAAAAACAACTTTGCAGAGACTTCAGAACTGGCTAAGATTGAAGGCTGACATGTATGAAGGCCTTCCATTTATTTCCAAGTTGTGAATATGTGATGTATGAAAGATCATAAATGTAAATCTTGTTCCAGAAAATCTGTTCAGTACTGTAAAGGTCTAATGTTTATTGGGGGTAAATGACATCTTTGGAAAGCTATCAGAATTCTGGAGAAAGCAATGCAGGCCGGCTGTTTTGTGTACACTTACTTGATACAAGGTTTTATGGTGTTAATTATTTTTTTGAACTTTATGGATCTTACTGTTGCTCTACTTCAGTTTGTTAAAGTTGGTAAAATTGAAAATTATGAAAACAATTGTGGTATGCATTTTATGGATGTATGTACCATAATTATGGTGGCAGTAAAACCTTATTTATCAACCACCAGGCTTAAAATTACTCAAAATTAACAACAAAACCAAAAAAAATCCTCATTCACTCTAGTGTATGCAGTGTACCTGTTAGGCTCTTACACAGCCAGTGAATTTAATAGAAATACGGTGTTCTTACAAAAATGTTGCCTGTGTTAATTGCACTTTTACATTTGAAAGGTAACATTTAAATTCTTTTTTAATTTTCAGTGGTTTTTGTACATAAAAGTATTGAGAAAGATGTTTGGATGACTATAAATGGCATATTAAATTATCAGAATGAACTGGTATTTTTAGCCCTTGCTGTTTATTGGTTTTATTGGGATAACTTCAGATTGGTTCTTTCCTTATTCAAAAATAATCCCAAGCCGCAAAACTTCACTTGAGCAGCTACTACTCTCTAATGATAAAGAAAGGAAAAACTTGAAATAGTTTGCTTGTTAAATGAACTAGAAACTTGCTATGAAAGCCTTGGGTTTGGATGCCAAAATTCAGCTGTCTAGTCGAGGCCGGGGGGGGGGGGGGGGGGGGGGGTGGTGACAGC